TCGGGAGCGCATGGCAGCCTCAAAAAGCCCTATAAACCCTCAGCCTCTAAGGCCAAAGCCCTCAACCTCTAAGCCCTAAATCCTCAACCTCTGAGCCCTATAAACCCTCAAGCTGGAAGGCCTTAAGCTCGAAGCCTCGTTCGGCCAATTCGGCCCTGAGCTGCCTTGAGCCGGGGAGCTCCTGAAGGTTAAAATGCGGGGTTACCTTTTGTGAAGGAGCTTATGGGTGGTTCTCTGAATTAGGGTCCCTTAATGCTGTAGCAAGTTGCCAGAATTAGGAAGCCGAAGGCCCGTATTATTTACAACAGAAGACAATCCCCGGATGTGGGAACAGGAACAGCCTGGGCATGGTCCAAGTCGGCGATGACTTGGCAGCGCCGAATTTCCGGGAGCTGCGGGTGCCCGAGACACGGAGCTGCGCCGTGCGCCTCGTAGCGGATGACACGGTGAAGGCCCCGAGCTCTGCTTGAACTTCCGGGAACCTGCTTTTTTTTCGTGCAAAGAACGTTTGGGGGTGCAGGGTCTGTTTCGGGCTGACGGAAGTCTGAAGCCCAGTCAGGTCGCCTACTCCCACAGCAAGGGCGACCTCTACTGGAAGATAGGCCTAGCAGTCGATGACGTACAGGCTGCTGCAGCTGCTCGGCTCAAAAAGGGGCTCTCGTCTCTCCCAGGCTTCAGCCCCTCCCCGTCTCTCCCAGGCACGCCTTGGAGTGCCGCCGGGGAGCCAGTTTCGGGACATCGGCTTCCTGACGCACATGGCAGGCACATAAGTGCCTCTGCGTGCGTGTACTTGCATCGTCGGGTGTTTCTCGCCCAACGAGACTTCCTGCAGATCCGGCGGGCTTTTGCATCGAGCTGCTGCAAACGACGTTTGAGTCCAGTGCAGCAGAGAGGGCGGAGCGGCTGACGCGCCCGGCTCCTCTGCTGAAGCCCCTTTTGAGTCGTGGCTGTCGTCGCTTCGCAGCTTCTTTTCGCGAGATGTGAGTTGTGGGTCTCGAGGTCGCCAACAAAGCGACCATCGGCCAGGACTTCGTCAGCTTCACAGGGAGGGAGGGCTGCGACGGGAGTTTGACACGTTGCGGGTGCAGTTTCAGGTCATCGGACAGATTACCACCCGCATCACCGACCCCAAGCGAAGCTTGGATTTCTACCAGAGGCCAGCTTCGTGCTGCATTGCCCTCACAGCGGCTCCTCTTTCTGGCGCAGGGTAATGGGAATGAAGCTGCTGTCCGTGCAGGCGCAGCTTGAAGCTGTAGAGCAGCTGTCGACGCTAAGTGCACCCGGTGCAGGAAGTGGCTCCTTACGGCTTCACGCTGCTTGCCTCTAAGCCAGTCATGGAGGCCTCCGCTTGCGGTCTGCTTTTCAACGAGGCTCTATTTCGTCGCGTACACAGAGGACAGCCCTCCCATAGCGGATCTTGAGGTTCCCCCGGACTCGGGTGCATGGGTGTGGGAGAGTCGGACTGGGGCCCGGCCTTGTCTGCAAGGCCGTGGAGAATCGGGAGTGGCTGTACCAGCGCGACTACACCACCTTGGAGCTGCAGCACAGGCCTTTCCCCTTCCGGCTGTGGGCTGGCAGTGTGCGATGTGGTGTGCTCTGCTTCGCTTGCAGGTGGGACTACCGGCCCGGCAGCTTGCGGCTGCCTGCCGACGACGAGGAGGCGCAGCGGCAAGCACAGCGGCACGGTTCGCAGAACGCGGCTCTCCAGGGCATGGCTGGTATCGTGGTCCGGCTGCCACCGGAGCAGCTGCGCAGGAGTGGAACGGAGGGAAAGCGAGGTCCCACTTGGCCCGGCGGTGTTTTTGCCAGGCTTGCGGAGGGGAAAGATGGCGATGTTCTACACGATCCAGATGGTCTGCGAATTCAGCTGGAGCCTCTCTGACTCTCCCCCAAGCCCGAGCGAAGAAAAAGAAGAGTTGTCTGCAAGTCTGCACCGCCTTGCATTGGAGTCGGAGCATCGACAAGCTGCGCTCATGTCAGGTGACCATGGTGGGCCGGCGCCGGCCCGCGCACAAAGGGGCAAAAAGTGATTACCAAAAAGGGCATCCTGAATCCTGATCCTGCGAAGACATTCCCCCCCACGAGCCGATATCCTGCGGCCAGGGGCTCCGGACTCGGGCAGAGGCCGCAGAGAAGGAATGCGAGGAGCTGCGCAACGAGTGCCAGGGCCCGGCGCTCGGCCTCCACCGAAATTTTTGTCCGGTCCCGATGTCTCCGAACTAATTTCTGGACCTCTTGAGGTCAGCTGGACGAGCTTGCGAGGCTCTACGAGGACGGCAACAGGCTCTTCGGAATTTTCTTAGAGACGTGATGCACCCGGCCGCGAGGAGTTTCGACGTGCTCACCAGAAAGTGCAGGAGGTGGGGTTTTAGGAGATCTCTCAGCCGAAACCGTCAGCCGAAGCCGCCAGGAGAAGGCACGGAGGGAGACCATCGAGAAGCCGGGGCTCCGGGGCCTTTTGAGCGGATGGCTCCGAGTGAAGCGTCCAACTCGTCCAAGGCATCTGGGCTCCGCTGTGGAGGCCGAGCCTGGAAGTCTCTCTCTCTGAACTCACTCACTCACTCACTCACTCACTCACTCACTCACTCACTCACTCACTCACTCACTCACTCTCACTCACTCTCACTCACTCACTCTCACTCACTCACTCTCACTCACTCACTCTCACTCACACTCACTCTCACTCTCACACTCACACTCACACTCACTCTCACTCTCACTCTCACTCTCACTCTCTCACTCTCTGACTCTCTCACTCTCTCACACTCTCTCACTCTCTCACTCTCTCACACTCTCTCTCTCTCTCTCTCTCTCTCTCTCTCTCTCTCTGACTCTCTCTCTGATG